GAGGGGGGGGGGGGGGGGAAAGAGAGAAAGAATAATTTCATACCTACATTTTGTGCTACCATATATATCACATCAGTTTGCTGGAGAAAAAAAGATCTCCAAAATGTTGATGTGGCTGATAACCTGAAAATATTTCGTTGTATTCATCCACCACAGAACTTCTCTGTTTACATCATTACATTACTACACTATTATGTTTGGAACATAAGATTTCTTTATATATATTGCAGATGATTAAATTACACGACTTGCAAATGTATTTTGTTTCGCTAAGTTTATATTACAATATTGTATCAAACACTTTCAAAATACACAAATCTTTCCAGTACCAATTGTGAATGCAAAGTCCAACTGAGAAAAGACTTTACTTACTGCAGAAAACGTCCAGCTGCCTGACCCACTTTGGTCAAGTCCACCCACTAAAGGTTAAGGAAAAGTGGTATCTTAAGTTCTTAATGAAGATTTATCTTTATTGAGAGAGATGTAATAATTATAATTATCACAAAGACAACTATCTTGCAAGCTAGTTTCAAATCTGTTGCTGCTGTTGTGATTTTTCTTCCCCGGCTTCCTTGTTCACGGACTGTTCAAACTCTTCTGGACCAACAAGCCTCTTTTTCCCAAAAGGCGGTGGACCTATCAATTTCTCCACATCGTCATAGTTTAATGTTTCCTTTTTCAAAAGAGTTTCAGCCAACTGAAATAAAACAACCTGATCAGTGTGTTTGGATATGTAATGGAACTTCATATAGCGCCAGTTATATGCACTTATTTTGTAAACTTCTAACAATATCTTCCACGGCTGTGGCCACTACTTACTCCTCTCACTCTCGCAGTCAACAGACTCAAATTTGACTACTTTCCACGTTTTCAAAAGTGAGTTTGAGGTTCTCTCAGCAGTGAGTATAAATGCGGCTGTCTTCTGGATTGTTGCTCCATATAGTCTGGTAGAAATTTACTAATTTTTCTGAGGTGCTTGCTGCCTCCATCGTTAGGCAATAAGCGTTGATGATGGAGGCAGCAAGAACCTCTGGAACATCAGTTAATTTCTACCAGACTATATGGAGCAACAATCCAGAAGACAGCCGCCCTCACGCTTACTGCATATACATAATTTTATTACGTGAAACTGATTATGACATTCTCAACAAGAACATGTATTTTACAAATAAAATTTCTGAGTTTTGTTTGGAATATGATGTACAGGTGCAGAAACCAATCCATCTCCCATACCATGCATCTACTGACAGACTTCATGAGTTGTTCTGTACAAACTTAATTACATGTAGAGAGACGATCTGTGTCTAATACTTGCCAGTTCAAGCTTCTCCTTATTCTCTTTGAGAACCTGCTCTGTTTTCACGTAAGCAGCAGTCACCAGTCTGTAAGCCTCTTCATCAATCAGAGCAGTCATTCGCTTGCTGTACGGACGTTTCCCAATTTCTCTTGTCTCTTCTTCAGGAAAAGAAACCAGACCCACCAACTTGCTCATGCCATAGACACGCACCTGTGCATACGCCATCTTAGTCACCTTCTGCAAGTCATTCTGTGCACCAGTTGTTATGCTGTTGAACGTGAGTGATTCAGCGACACGCCCTCCCAGTGCCATGCACATTCGTTCAAACAACTGCAACAAAAAACATCCCCTACTATAAATCCATTTACTGTACGTTGAATCTTTTTTTCTTACACAAGTTTACAAACAAATCATAGCTCAAACATGAATGAACAAAGCTTGAACTGATCAACACATTTAGTGGCAATGATTCGTTAAAAATAACTTCAACAATTTAGAAACAAATTAGGAATCCCGCAAACTTCAAGAACTGATATTATATGGCTGCAATATCCTGATTAAAGAAATATGCAAAATTTCAGTATATAAAATGCCACTTAAATACCTATATATTCATGAGCCGGTGATAAACTAAAATAATATAAAATATTTATCAGAATAGCCAGGCACATATAACCTCTGGATATTCAGGTACACCCACAGCAAGTTTGAATCTGCTCAGGGCATAGTGTTAATATTTTTCTGTGATGGTAGAGGCCTTGTAATGGTCTAATCCCTCCTCAAGCCCCACTCCCTATCTTAGTAATGACAAATGTAGATCGCCATGATGCGATACCCAACTGATTTTAAAAGAAGATTTTTCTTCTCACCTCTTCTCTAGAATACAACTTCTGATCAGTTGGCATGTACTGTGCAAATCCCAAAGCCAGAGTGGTGCGAGGAACAATGGTTACTTTGAGGAGAGCGTCGGTGTAGCGGAGCATCCAGCCAACAATAGCATGACCAGACTCGTGGTAAGCCACCACCTTCTTCTCTGCCGGTGACATAACATGGCTTCGCTTCTCTGTACCACCAACTACACGCTCCACTGCATATTCTAGGTTCTCTCCACGCACTATAGTCTGTTTATAACGGGCAGCATGTAAAGCAGCTTCATTGCAGACATTAGCTATATCAGCACCTGTGAAGGACGTGAGGATGATGTGGTCTTGGTGCACTTTATTTTAAGTTGCAGCAAAACATCAACATTCCAGGGAAAGCACACAAATGTTTTTTATGTTTACAAGGATTACTGTGCAAATAATAAATGTGGTAGAAACAGCACCACATCACAGTTGTGATGTACCTTACATTTCATAAGCTGGATGTACTCAGGTGTCGGCTGTCACACGAACAGACATTTTAAACAAGGCATGGAGAAGAAGATTTTGTCCAAAGACAGAGTTAATGAGAGGAAGTTGTAAAAACTACATAATGAGGAGGTTCATACTTCCCATTTTTCTCATTATTTGTTACGGTAAACAAATTAGAGGATAAGATGAGGTCATACAGCACATACCCATCTGCCAACGGCCATTCCCTAAAATTTTCACAAAGTGTAAGAGTTCCAGACTATCATTTATTATATTTACCAAATACCATGCAATCAAATCAAGGAAGATGAGATTGGCGGGATAGACAACATTCATAGACACACAAGGAGATAATTTCGGATGAAATAATAATATTATAATGGATACCTAAGAGAGTGTGAGGTTATGCACTAAATTCAATTGGTTCAGGTTAGACTCTTTTGGACGTGGTAACGAACCTTTAGGGCCCATAAAATACGAAGAACTTCTTGACTATCTGGGTGGCCATCAGTTTCACAAGGACTCTGCCTCATGAAGTTACTTTATTACTCTTAGTTAGTCAAATCTGGCCTCTGAAGGTTCTAATTTGGTATAGATTATAATATTCTATACTTATGGTTGGTATTTTTTATGGTTTTTTACAAGCAGAAATTTAGTGCCACAATATACAGCAAATACCAGATATTCATACAGCCAAAGTGCAAACAATGTTTTGAAATATGGCAGCCAAACAATTTGTTCATTAGAAAAAACATATAAAAATTATAAGGTATTATGGCATTTATGGAAATTTGGAATCCTGAGCTAGTCCAACAAACTGGAAAAACTTTGGATAATACTATTCTGGACAACAGCATACAGTAGCAGGTAAATTTCATTTAATGAAACTGCATTTGTGTCTCCAAAATCCATCTCCTAAACATCAAGTAGGAAAACAACCACCATCTTAAATTTTCTAGGAAAAACTGGTAACAAGGCAACTGTAATTTTCAGGCCCTGCATACTGCTATTTAATTTGGATGGCCCGCTCAGAATCGCTTACAATGATATAACATACCGCTGAAACCAGGTGTCAGGTGTGCCAAGCGTTTTGAATAATTTTCAGGAGAGTTTTCAAGAGAGATGCACTTCAAATGTTGTTCAAATATTTGCTTCCTCTCTTCTAAAGTTGGCAGATCTATCAGAATATGCCGATCAAATCTTCCAGGCCTTAGAAGTGCCTAAGGAAGAAAATGAGTAACTAAGCATATTACATGTATTTCCTCTTTTAACCCACAGTTAACAACAAAAGCATTAAAGTGTTGATGCATTTAAATCCTCCATTTCTATTATTAACTTCATTGCACTCACTTTGTCCAAAACATCATCTCTGTTGGTTGAAGCCAGCATAATAACTCCTTCCTTGGAAGCCATACCATCCATCTCAACAAGCAGCTGATTGAGGGTCTGTTCCCCTTCTCCAGAGGCCTCATCAAACTGACCGATACCTGCACTGCGTTTGCGACCAATAGCATCAATCTCATCAATGTAAATAATACATGGGGATCGTTTTCGTCCCTCTTTGAATAAATCCCGAACTCTTGCGGCTCCAAGACCACCTATCATCTCGATGAACTCTGAGCCATTCATGGATAAGAAAGGAACATTAGCCTCAGTTGCAACAGCTTTGGCAAGCAGTGTCTTCCCACATCCAGGTGGTCCAAGTAACAGTGCTCCTTTAGGCACCTACACACACAATAAAATATGTAATTTAGAAGACTACAAATATCAACGCTGCTACCATATCAATTGGGTAAGGATCCATGGCAGATTATTTTTGATTATATGAAAAATACTGCAACATCAAACAAAGAACTGGGGCCAAATTTTGGCTGAGATGAAGAAAATCAATTTAACTAAACTTCCCCCACCATCAATACTACCTTAGGAAGCTTTCTGTCTTCTGGGTTGTTGCGCTGTGTAGTCTGGTAGATGTTTACCAACGTTTCAGAGATCATACTCGATTCATTCGATTCATCACCCTGATGACAGAGGCAGTATGACCTCTGAAACGTTGGTAACCATCGACCAGACTACACAGCGCAACAACCCAGAAGACAGAAATCTTCACTGATGTGAAAACCTCAAATCTTACAATACTACATTATATTGATCACAAGACAATATTAATTAAAAGACAACTGGGATACTGGGAACGACCCATTTTAGTTTACCAACGTTTCAGAGATCATACTCGATTCATTCGATTCATCACCCTGATGACAGAGGCAGTATGACCTCTGAAACGTTGGTAACCATCGACCAGACTACACAGCGCAACAACCCAGAAGACAGAAATCTTCACTGATGTGAAAACCTCAAATCTTACAATACTACATTATATTGATCACAAGACAATATTAATTAAAAGACAACTGGGATACTGGGAACGACCCATTTTACAAGTGCTTGAGCACTGCGGGTCCCAACTTTTCGTTGGCTTGATCTATGGACATTTGGTAGGACTCCTTGGACGAGGGATCGACCCATCGCAAGGCCTCTACATGTACACAGGACAGCACAACACAGAAAAACGCAGACAAACATCCATGGCTTGAGTGGGATTCGAACCCTCGTCCCAGTGACCAAGCGGCACAAGGCCCACACCTCAGACCACGCGGCCGCTGCGGAAAAAGACAACAGTATGCCCAAAATGTATCCACATTTACTTTTGACAGTTTATTGACTGGATGAGCAGTATGTATGATATTTTACTGAATGTAGAAATTAACTCAATAGGGCAGAATCATTGAGAAAATTAAAGACATTTAGCTAGTCAAAAACTTCTGTGCCTTTTACAGAACCAAAAGCTTCATCACTGTGTTCATAAGGTGGTAATAATTTCTTACAACAGGAAAACTGTTCTGGTCTGAGTGAGGAAAAAAGTTGGACCACCCTGATATAAACAATGGGATAAATTTCAACATGCATTGTGCATCTGCCTGCAGTTTTATGAGAACTTAATTCATAAGTTGCACAAGCTCATAAGATGCAGATATGCAGACGTGAAGGCACAACAACGTGTGATGCAGTATAGATTTGTACTGATTGGAACACAAATAAAACAAAATGTAGGAAGTGCTGATAGCATCATAACAAGGAAATTGAAAATGCACGCAAGACTATAACTTTATTATCTACAAAACAAGCTCCTTTCCCTTGTACTGAGCAATGATGTGCTAACTGGAGTAGTGGTAAATTTAGAAACAGATTATGTTTCCCTAAATTACAGGCCCATATGATCCATCCTAAACGAAACCACACACTCTACACCCCCTGTATACAACAAAGTAAATGACAAAACCAATGGATGTATATACAGAAGCGAAATGCGCACAGTTCGGTGCATAGATATCTAATATCAAACAGATTTTCTGAATTTAATACTCAAAAACAGACTGCATTCCACAAAAGAGTAACATCAGTACTATAACCCATTACCTTAGCACCCAAACGTTTATAATGTTCTGGGCGTTTGAGGTAGTCAACAAATTCCATAACCTCTTGTTTAGCCTCTTTTAAACCAGCTACATCAGAAAAATGAACTCCTTTACCTGGCCCAGTAAGTGGATCAACCAATGTAAACTTTGCCCGACCAAGTTGTGTCTGAAAAATGAACCACTGTTATTTCCACAAGTATAATTCTGATACAACTCAATATTTTGTAACAAACTAATGACATTTTTAATTTTATTCAGTTAAAACCTAAAAAAAATTAGCTAAAAGTAGTTATGAGAAGTTAGCTCAACCTACAGACCTGTATCTCCGTACATAAACATTTAGCATCATAACACATTAACCATGTGAAGACATTTCCTGGTTCTCACACTAATCAGCAGCAACACAGGACATTGACTTCCAGGCCACGCAAGTTTGAGAGATTGCAGTTCATTTATTTCTTGGGAGATATTAATATCTGATGGCCCTACAGAAAGCCAGTATGTTGGACATTATGATGACCATAAAATAATCTCACTAAGTTAAAAAACAAATAAATAAAAAGAAAATTTTAAAAGTAATAAAAGCTGTTTCATGTTTCTGAGAATTACAACTTATGGAGAACAAGAATCTTTAAAAAATAGTGTTCCACATTATAATCACATATACAAACAATAAAGTGCTTTAATTGGCATGATTTTGAAGAACAGAACATAAACCATATTGAAAGATGTAAACATTACATTAAACTACAATAATATGTTACAAAATTATCACTTCTTTGGTACTACACTTCTAAATGTTAATATTTTAATCTATCGTAATAGATACTTTCTAATTCTATATCAAATTACAGCTCAATAAGGGACATATCTAGAAGCCTGTCCTTTGAGTAAGCATGAATTTCCTATCCAAACAATTATGTGGATTTGAATGAATGCACTCAGACAAGATTTAGTATTGTTAATACAGCATAAAACATCCTTCAACACTTTATTCAAATGTACCAACATTGTATTTAAAAAATTCAACTGAACATACAAAAGTATCCATGCTGATTGGAGGCCTGATACTTTTACTGCGTGACAGCACGGATAACAACAAACCAACGACAATGAGTGAGGCCAGTAACTTTCCAGCTGTGTCCGAACTTCTTTCATAGATGATGGGGACTCCATTATCAACTGTGAGGCCCAAATTTCTTTCAGCTTCTCGCAATTTCTCCTCAAATCTCTTCATATCAACAATGTTCATGTGAAATGTTTTATGATCAATCTGAATAACAAAATCAGAACACACATATTATAACAATTTCTGCCTTTAATTACCAATTATACTTTTGCTCGTATGGCAGGCATCTTGGTTATTATTTAGGAAATGAGATGAATTTCATTATTGTCAGCTTCAGGACTGCATTTATACACATGCTTTAACAGTGATATTTGGTTATATATATATATATATATATATATTGAATGGTTGCCTTAACACTGTCTAGTGATTCTATTTCTCACAGAGTCACAAAATTAACACTATTTCCCATTAATGTTCTCACATGACTGACTGACTGAGATTACTTTATAGAATTCTATCAGAGTAAAAGCTTCAATTCTACAACAAATCTCTAGTAAAATTTAATAAATCTGTTTATTCCTTACTCTTTTTCCTTTTATAATTGCACCATCATGCAAAATGATGGTCACAATGTCAACATCAGGTCTAACTATAACTTCTTCCACTTCTCCTTTGGCCAACATATGATGGACAAATTCATTCCATGACACATAACGAATCACCTGAAAGAAGACAATGGAACTTATCCAGAACAGTGTTTTCCTACCACTTTTTCTGGGGAACCTTTATAGTCACAAAAATGTCTGGCAGAATCCCACACAAGAACAAAGATCTGCAGTTTACCAAAAATATAATACAAAACAGCACAGGTGTTAAAGATTCTAAATTATATAACTGATTTTCTATGGTATATTTATGACAATAAACAAGGAGTTTTGGGTACAACTCACAGAACCTTGTTTCCTATTGCGAGTACTTCAAGCCTTACAAATCTTCTGTCAATATTACATTTAAGTATGTACATTTACATCCAACAATAAAATGTAGTTCATTTCAGAAGTTAGCATGCAGAGCTCATGTAAAGATGGTCACAGTACTGAATCTGATTGCAGTCAGTGTAACTCTAGCCTTGCAATTTGAAACATGTTAAACGTTGGTTAACATCGACCAGACTACACAGCGCAATAACCCAGAAGACAGAAATCTTCATGTTACAAATTGATATCTACCAGACTACACAGTGCTACATCCCAGAAGACAGCCAACTTCATGTTACAGACATTATTGCTTTAGTTTTATTACTATAATACCATTATTTTCTTCTTTGCCAGATATAACTTCAAAGACTGATGCAATCACCATATTTATAACTGCTGTCTTCACAATAATTCAAAAACAATCTGTAGGCATGTTTGTAACCCATCTTCATACACTATTTCATATTCAATGATTTACTAGTTATTGTAGTCAGACTCAAAATGAAATTAATATTTTCACACAGCTGTCATGTTGTTGTTTTACATTGCATAAAATATAACATTAACAAAGTTGGATAATTTTCATGACACTATACAAAGGTGACACACAGACTGCATGGTGATTTTGATAGCAATACTGGACCAAGTGGTTGAGAAGTACATAACAGTTCTGGTGATGCTTCAGTTAAAACAAAGTATCTGCAAACTTCGGCTACATAACAAACAGTAAGAGGAAGATGGAAATGGCAAGGGGGAGCATAATGTCTTGCATGCTACGGCTTCCACTCATTCCCTGTACCTTGGCTGACTGGTCACCAATGGGCATGTTTGTAATGGTCAACTAAGCTTGGTGATATCTTGTGACAAGCAAACAAGAAACTTCATTTAGTGGTGTGCATGTGGGCATCAGTAGTGGAAACTGTATTTCAAGCACTTACATAAGCTAAATAACTATGTGTGGGCAGAAATGACATCCAAATCAATAATTTTGGATTCACGGCTGAAATGCTTGGAAACCCCTCCTGTATAACAATTATGAAATCAGGGCTCAACATCAAAAGCATCTGAAATTCAGACTTCATATAACAGTCCTTCTTGTGAAATGAACAAGTTACTTACCTAGCTAACAAATTTCTTACCTTTCATAAAACCTGATGGTTCATTACAATGTTCAGTAGAGACTACCATTGGATCCAGTTACTCCACAACTTCACATCCTATTTCTTTATTATTTATCTATCCTCTGTCAGAAGATTTCTGATATTTCTTGCATAGGTTAATTGTCAGACACCTTGCACAACCAAATTTACAAATTATCTCCCATGCTATTATCATGTGCCAAGTGTCATATCTTTGCTACTTATATGGTTTGACCTTTCTTCTAGTAGTTCTAAGAATGGAATCACAGATGGCAGGAGGTTACATTCATAAACATAAATTTGTTCCTAGTAGCAATGAGCATGGAAAGGAAAAATATGGAAAAGGGTAAAGATAAATTTTACTATAATCCTACCATGTAAGCCTGGATTTTTCATACTAACCTCATCACTTTACAGAGTAAAAATATGAACACCTCTTATCCTCCCTATGTGGGTTACACGTCTATCAACTAATACCCTAATATTATTTGGTTTAAGAGTACAAATTACAAAGTAACTTACTTCATCCTCCAGTTACTTTCTCTCTTTGGTCCAAATTGTATTTTCAGCACCCAATTAACAATTATGCTCAACTATGTACTTCCCTTAGGGTAGGTTTAAAGTTTCACACCTGTATTACTAATGTTTCTAAACTTTTGCGAAGAACATAGCATTTTATGTTCTGCATAATTGTTACACAGCAGAAGAAATAACTAAACATAATTTATTTGCATGTACATGCAACTAACCTCTGGTTGATTGCTACTTGGAAACAGAAGGGAGACAATTGCTATAAGCATATATGCAGTCAGCATCCACAAAAAGGCTTTAGCAAGCAATGATGAAATTTTACTATCATCTTCATCATCCTTGTTTGGTTTCTTGTCATCACCATTTTGGGGTGGCTTCTGCTGTTGCTGAGGGGCTGAACCTGTAGAATGTATACTTCTTACTTGAAGGTAATTTGAAAGCTGATGTGTAGTCCTAAGACCAGAGCGATGTAGGAGGCTGAAGACTGCTTGGTATTCCCTTTTTATGTGCTTGTAAACCTTCAAAGAAAAAAATAAAATAAAAAAACAGCCTATGTACATTGACTTTCAACAAATCACTTGAATAAAAAAGCAAGACAAACACTTTAACAATAATATGTAACCAAACAATTCGAAGAGAACATCCTAAATACTTTCAAGATGATATGAATGCTGACTTTCACAGGCCACAGACATTACCACACCATAGCTTATGATTATATCCTGTCACTTACATGGAAAATCACAGAAACCTCAATCAGGACAGTTAGTCTTGGATTGGAATTCAGAAAGACCTTTGATCTATGATGCCATAATGTTTGGCTAATTCATAGGCTAGAGTAGTGGTTCCATTGCAAGCAAGAAGGATAAAATAATTAGCCTTGTCTCAAGCATCCTAAAATATCCCATATCGTATACAAGGCCAAAATATCAAGAAGTGGGAAATTACCACAGAAAAGAACTCTTCCTATGGCTCATATAAGATACTTTCTAGCCAAGTATAACACAAGGTTTCAGTCCTGGTAAGACCATTTTTAAATTAACATTTGGATAATTATTCTATGTTCAACACAAAAAAAAATGATATTTCTGTGAGCCCTAACCTAAAAACACCCACAATCATTTTTGGTGCTATAAAAATAATCTTCCAAGAATGTAATGGAAAACACTGTATGATTATCAGTCCCAATATAATCTCATTAACATCCATAATTTTTCTATTGGAAATCAACAAAACTAAAGACAGGCTCTTGAATACACTGATTTCCCTGCATGTAATGACTAAAAAATCAAAGCTAATGAAAAGAAAAATAACCCATTTTCATATTTCTGGTAAATTGATTTGTGGTACTTTCAATCTGTGAAATGCAATGAAATTTCTGCAATCCTGAAAGTTTCACATAGCGCAGAAATCTGAAATTACTTACTTGTGGATTCAATTTTCTACTCCCAGTGGTCTGGTATAAGTTTTTACTGCAGTGCTTGATAATACACTTCTCATTATTCAATTCACTTTTGCATCTATTAAAGTTACACCCGCCGTATACATTAGACATTTCATTATAACATACAAACCGCCTAATTATGTTATCTACTATGCGTTTTGTCTTCATTACAAACATTTTGGGAGATGTCTTCAAATCTTATGCAACTATATAAACTACGTAAGATAATGCGTTGTAAAGTTGTGCGGTTTCTATCACCGTAACATAGCAAAGAAAAAAAATTATAATAGACGAGCATTCATTATGTTGTATAGAAATTAAAAACAGTCACATTTTAACTAATAATCAGTATATTTATATCACTTGGTGAAAATTTACAATTTATAGACAGTCGCCATATTTGTTACCAACAGTATAGCCAACATCACGAATATACCAGATAAAATATAATTAAGATACTTGACACAATCTTGTTAATTTCTGGACAATTAGTAGGGAATTTAATGACTTTATATCAATTGCAGACATTTTACAGTGTCGAGTGGGGTTCTGACGTAGGTCACGAACGGGTGTAGCATTAATGTATCAAACAAACCAACCAACCATTTAGAATAATGGCCACCAAAGTACTGATAACAATTTGTTTCCATTTATGAATCTGTTATCATCATAGTCAAAGATATAAATAATACTGTTTGCCTTGAAATCAAAGATAAACAGCCATGCCTGTACAGTTTTGAGACGTTCCTAAATAATAGTACTAAATATGCGCGTATTCGCCATGTTTCGGTATCTGAATTAACACACAAATTTGATATTGGAGAGTTTTTCTATAATTTGTCGGAATATTATAATTTTGGTTACAACTGGACAACAAAAATTGACACTACGTAAATTTCTGCATCTTAAACCTAACCAGTGGCGGCTCGTGAGTCTGAGCAATGGTAGTGCTGTGAAAGGGGAAAAATCAGAATAGTTTTTCAACACATAACAATATAAATAAATGAAAAGTAAATTTATATTAGGAGAAAACCCAAACGTGCTCGACGATGTTTAAACATAACCTTCCAGGACTTAACCAGCACTTCTCCGGAATTCCTCCAGCACTTCACCATGACCAAAGTACTTCCGCATAAAATCTCTACGACTTCTCCAGCACTACTCTAGAACTTATCCAGGACTTTTCCAGGGATTTTCTAGGATTTCTCCAGCACTACTCTAGAACTTCTCCAGGACTTCTCCAGCAATATTCTAGAACTTATCCAGGATATCTCCAGGAATTTTCCAAGACTTCTCCAGCAATTCTCCAGGACATCACTACGACCACCCTATGAACACAATAGAAATTCTCCAGGACAACCCAACCCATCGTAAAACAACAACCATATATAACGTACCCTTAAATCACCCGACTTAACTAAACCTAACCTAACCTAACCAATCCTTACCTGACCTAAAGTAACCAAACCTAACCTAATCCAAAAGCAACTTAATCAAATTTAACTTATCCCAATCAAACTTGAACGAATCCAACATAATCGACCCGCATAGGATCAAATCAACCACCGCTTAAGGACTTCCAAATAACCTTCCTGGACTTCTCCAGCAATTCTCCATGATAAAAAAATTTGCGCTTAACGTCTCCAAGACTTCTCGGACACTACACTAGGACTTTTCCAGGATTTCTCCAGGACCCCCAACGATACCGCAAGGACTGGCTAGGATAGCTTTCTAAAGCTGTATGTTGCCCTGAATATGGAAACTTCAGCGTATTTTAGGCACACTCTCAGGCAGCTAAATTTTCTCGAAAAAAAGAGTTTATTTAGTGAGGTGTCGTAGCATACTGACAAGTTATTTTAGTGGAAATTAAGTTCTTTGTACATATGAGAAGTAAGCCGATACATGAAATAAGTGACGCAGCTGGAAATGTGAGCACAGCTTATACAAGAATTTAATGATCTAAACAACTTCAGTGAAAAAGTATGGGCTACCTGGTAAGTGACATTTATTCACACATCAAAGGGTCTCAAATAGAATTACGGGTTTGGAAACACAGACGCGAAATAGTAACGCATCTCTCTCACACGCGTCTCTCCTACGCTGAGTAAGAATATAAACATTCAGCAATACTTGCTTTATGTTAGAAAAGCTGCTAGATTTCTGCAGAGGACACCAGCCCATATTTTTACGTAGGCTAATTCAGTTCTCATATTGCATTTCAGATTTGAATAATTACAAAATAAATTATTAAATAACATCAGTGATTTTCGTTTAGAGAATTAACTAATTTTAAGCACACCGCCTTCCTAAAGACACCCTTTTATTTTATTTAACCAAATTATGAAAATAAGTAATGAATGAAAATTTCCAATAAAGAAAACGGCGGTAATAATACTAATTCTAGGCCTACTACTACCACCACCACCACCACCACGAATAATAATAATATAATAAACCAAATATTATAATCCGAAACAAAAACGGAACTTGCCTCTTAATTGACATAGCAGTACCGACTGACAGGAATGTGATTAAGAAGGAAGCTGAGAAGATCTTGAAATACAAAGACCTTCTCATAGAAATACAGAGAATGTGAAAAATGCAAGCAAAAGTAATCCCAATAGTAATAGGAGCAACAGGAACTGTCTCCAGGTCACTCAGAAAATATTTGGCCAACATCCAGGGCGAACACGACATCAGGGAACTGCAGAAGACCGCCATTTTGGGATCTTCATACAGCATTCGAAAGACTGTCGTAAAATAAAATTATATAATAGATGTAGCACTTGCTAAAAACAACATGTATCCCGGAAATAGCTGCTGCCCTATGTACCTTAGGGACAAGGTCTGTCTCGGGTACATGGAAGTACATACCCCATAAAGTGGTGAATAGATGGGATAATAATAATAATAACTACATGGAGTAGAATCCGTCTTGAGTAGTTGACAGACACTCAACTGTTCAAGGAATTCCTCGTCTTTTACGGAACTCGTGATGAAAGAAGCCTCAAGCCTTCCACAGGACCGCATCCTGAATCAACTGAATTCAGTCCATGCTTTACAAAGTATTTCTTCAAGGCCCATTTTAATATTGTATTAACATCTGCGCCTAGGCCTCCCAAGCGGCCTCTTCCCATCAGTATTTCCATTAAAATGTTATAGGCTTTACACGTCTCATCTGTGTGTCATGTGGTGCTTTTTGGTCAATGAATGATTTGATTAACTCAGGGATACTGGTTTTACAAAGCAGTATTTGTAATTAAGTGACAAATCTAATGCTATCATAATCGTCCTAAATTCTATCGCCACGAACGCACTAGGTGACGAATAGTCTACAGATTGTAAAAATCCTTATTACCACATTTTCTCCTGTTACTTTAAATTTCGTGACTTTGTAATTGTACGATGATTAATGTTCCGATTATCTATCAGCTGTTACGCAGTTTGTTACAGGGCTGTCGGCCTAGTAACGCAATGTTTCCTATGGTTAGCCGCGTTGTGGACAACTGGTCTAATCCCTGTTTCGTGTGACTTACAGCATATTTCCTTTGCTGAAGATGCCGCTCTGACGTTCCTCCAAAAGCCAGGATGCAGCTCCTTTGTCGGCATTTCCAGTCCCGGAGTCTCCATACGTTTCTGCTGCAAGGTATGGGAGTAACTGATTAGTCATTTGGGACCAAGACGCTCTGTGCCAAGTACATTCTCTGGGCACATTTTTCATTCCTCTGCTATGTAACTGCGCTCTGTCTTCTACCGTCAACATGCAACGGAATATCGGCAGCGATTACTGGCGGATCGGAAGGGATAAAGAAGGAAATGGTCAAGACATATGTTACAGCATGCACTTGGAGACGCTTACTTAAACTATAAAATAGTTGCGTTGGAAATCAAGCCTGGTACTTGCTAAAACGAAGTAAGAAATTATGCGTTAAAGATATTCTCTTATGATACAGATCGACTTTTAAATAAAACCATTTTTAAATTTACACAATGAATCTTTAATTGTAGGACTGTCACTTTTATTTCCCACTTGAGCTGAGTTATATTGCATTGTAAGCTACAGTTCATACTCGTTGATTGTAGGTTCTCTTTACGCTCTAGCGTAAACCGAAGACCATCTAATGGGCCCGTCCTTTTCTGTGTGTCTGTCTGTCGCACAATTACCTACGATAACACTTTTGAAACTATGACCTTGGATAACAATATTACCTTCGATACCACTGTTGTGTTTTGACAGTCCCTTCATCGCCCTGAATTTTAGTGTATTCAAAAGAGTACAGTTTTTTAATCTTGTTTTATGATGGGAGGCACAACCTACAAGGTATTGGAAATTCTCAATATGTAAAAACAAAAGAGGGGAAGAAGGAAAGAAAGGAAAAAATCAAGAAATAAAGCCCTTCGTGAGCTTCCATTTAATAATTCTTTTATTTGATGCTAATTCTTACAGTTACCACAGAGTCGTTAAATCTATTCAGTTTTCCTTTAATATTACCCTTCCATGTGCACCCAGATGTTCATTTCATATTTTCATCCAAATTTCTGTATGAACTTCTCATCTCTCCTTGCGTGCCCGTCCATTTCATCTTCCTCGTTTCGATCAACCTAATAATATCCGATGGACAGTCAAATTCTTATGCCCCTCATTACACAATTTTCTCCTATCTCCTGCCACTTTTCCAGTCTTCGAGCCAGATATTTTCCTCACTACTTCATCCTTAAGCACTCGATTTTGGGCCTATTCGTTCTTTACCCTTTTGAAGCTAAGTTTCGTGTAAATAGTACAGTATTTCCTCGACTTTAAGACTCACTTTTTCACATTTTAAAATTTTAAAATCGGGATGCTTCTTAAATTTGATGCTTTCTATCGATATAGCGTATTTATTCCTGAAAACCTATTACTAAATCAAGGGCATGTCTTACAATCGACGACGGCTTAAAATGGAGTTACTGTGGCATTTAAGAATTCATTCCTTACCTCAAACGAAGCACACAGATTCACCATTACAAACATCAATTTCCTAATGCTGTTTAAGAAAACAATCACTCCTCAGACCGAGAAACATACAAGACCCACAAATATGAAGTGTACAGTTAGATTGGTAAAGCAGGTGATACATTTAATTTCTGCTGGAATTTAAAGGTATAATGTAATAGATCAAGTTTCACGCAGATCGCACATTGGAATTGCATTGTAAATGACGCCAACAGCTACGTACACAGTCATCGCTTTGCAACTAGTGGCAGAGCCCGGGGTCGTAATTAGCAAGCAGGGATGGAGGCCGCCATCACCCGTGCGGATTTTCAAGCTTGCGCCAGCTGCGTCCCAACACTAATTAATAATTATCATTTTAACAGCTTTCTCTATTCAGCTGCCACCGCACGTCCCTTCTTCACACTAAACGTTCCCACAATTCAATTAGAAAATGAACGCCTACATTAATTTCATAAGAACGTCCGTATAATAGTGCACGGAATGTATACTAAAGGAAAGTCATTATTATTGTAGTTTGCACAAGATTTAACAGAATCCAAGGAAAATTAATTCCAAATAATATGAAAATTTTTATGCCAGTACACATATCTGCAATACAACGAAATGTCTATGTATATTTGTGCTTATAGCTACATTCATGTTTAGTGTAAGAAGCAAATAATTATGTTTTTGAATAGGTAAATGAATCTGATTAATGAAGTACAAATTACTGAAAATATCATGAATATTAAAACGATTCAACACAAGTGTAAAATTCATTCAAGATTTAAGTATGAATTCACATTGGGAGAATGGATGCAGGACTTAGCACTAGAAAAACAGATTGTTGAAGAAAAGCAATTCAGTCTATTTTTGCTACAAAATTTGTAATTTGCCAGTAAGAAACGAATATCAACGCCAATGAAGTATACATTTGGAAAATGTGACTGTGTCTACTTTAATTGAAGAATAGTGTCCCATCGAATTTTACGAATTTTAATAAATAAAAATGAAATAATTTCGTTTACATCTTGGTGTTCCAGCCCAATTTGTTTCATCCACACTATAAACTTCACTAATTACACCCAATAACCTGAATTAATCACCATTCAAATTCTCCTTGGTCATATCATCTCTTAGCTGCTCTTCAACATACCATTTTCCATTGATGAAAAATCTGATTTAAGATACGGCTTCTTTCCATCCTTTCAAAAAAATTCCCAATATTTCTTTCCATTTACATTCGTATGCCTATTATAAGACTGTAATTAATCTAAGTTATTTTAAACCCTCTTTTGATCTAGAAGCGAAACATCAGCTACTAATCTCAGAAATGCATTTGAACATGTTTACTGTTATTATTTCCTGTTGTTTTCCAAACATCTTGTGGTTATAAAAGAACATCTGAAATATCCTTAACCCTTTTAAGCCGAAGCTGGTATAAATAATGTATAAGAATTCAGAGCGCACAACAAAGAAAACACAACGCGCTACCATTACAGAGATCAACTGGATAATTCTGTTTAAGAAAACTGTGAATGTTTAAACGGAGCCGGTATATTTTTGTAGATCTGATAAGACTAATTATTGAAAATTCTAAGTAGATAAAATGAGTCGTGCCTAAGGCATTTCTTGTTTTTGTCTCTCGTTTATTTTCAGCCTAAAATCCTACAGATAAAAGCATTTTCTTTACACCAAATAAGAGATTACATGAAACCGTATGATGATGTTTTGTGGTCTCTTCACTCTAATGCTGAGACAGTACCTAAAAAATACGACCATTTCCTTCCAGAAACATTCAAAACCATCATCCATAACCATCCAACCATTCCAGTTAACTCGTCGTGGACTCTTGCCATAGCGAGTTTTCGGTAAGAAAGCATTATTTTGTTTTAAACTAGCATGGTAACTTGCCTACATTTAAAAAAAACTGGAAGTTTTCAGCTTAAACGTCAAAAGATGCCAGGATAGTTTACAATGCAAGTATGTAGCATTCATTTGTTTATTTATGGATTATCCGACACAGTTGTCAGTAACTATAACTACATAACATTGAATGATAGTACGATTAATGAATTATGAACTGGGAAGGACGTAGAAGAAAGATGTGATAGCCTGATTTTATGTAATATCTGAGAATTTAACTGGAAGGACTGAGGAAACCACAAAACCTCAGTTATGATAGATCCTACAACTTATGTAGCATATAACAAGAACTTTAAATAACCCACGGATCAATAGAAGATATTAAAAGTAAAACTATCAGTGTAGAAAATTGTACGTTATAGTTATTGATAGTATATAATTTATAAGTGTAAAGGACAAATTTTACGCTTTTGTGAGTACATTAATGGACATCCATATTCCATAAAATCGGGAAATATTTTGACCAGCTAAGCAATTATAAAATTTTCAAAAATATCTTGCATCACGGAGTTGAACCTGTACGGTTTATATACAGGCATCCGTTACACGAGGTCGAAGTACCAAACAGACATTAGAACTACAGAAAACCTTACTAGTTTCATATGAAGTTGGGAAAACAAAAATACGTGGATAGAGGCAGTACAGTAATTTATCCGGGAACGACTACGGGCTGGCTTCATTAAAATACCTATAGGTAATATAAATAACCGCTCGGTACAGACATCAGATGCGAGATTGTTTTTTTCAACAGCCCCTCCTCCCATGTTTACGAACATGGGCCGAATGGGGAAGCAATTAAGTGAGCGAATCTCCCCATGGGCGCTGTGTTGTTGTAGGGGCGAACTGTCGCAGCATCGAGCCAGTTTCTGATTGAAAATGTATAGTGCTTGCTCTTTTGTGGACGGGAATTTAAAAAAAATACCATCACAAGAGTGGTCAATGCTACGTTGGCTGTAGGCTTGCTGCCGGGACTGTTTTTGTTTCATGTTTGGTTTTGTTCGCATCGCCCGCTGGCACGCAGAATGTCCGTCCGTACGCTCACATTGCCCCCTCGCAGTCACTGATCGACTGCATTAGTGAGGCCACGGTCCAGGACGGACGAATCTGTTGTGTGGCCGATTGGATAAAGGTCTCGGGTCCAAAGATCTGGTCTTCGTTTCTGGATCAGTCTCGTTCACCAGTCGGTCTATAAATACAAAGACCACTCTGATGAAGGAGGCAACATGCACGTCTGAAATGTAGGTCAGCTACTGGCTAGGAATCAGTATGTATTCTGAAGATACTGCGAAATTCCATCTCAGTACAGATTTCTTTTTCGGTTTCCTGATGTACGATGTAAGTTTGTGCACGACCCATTGCGGACTCCCCAAATGCTTGCTTTAGCATTTCATAGGTTACCGTAGCCGTTTTGGCGAGTCTCTGGCAAAATTTGATGCACACGCCATTCCGAAATCGCAGGAGGGTCGGTGTAATGCACTACAAAAACGCCCGTAACTAAGAAACAAATACTAATTCGATGATGCCGGCTGGCACACTGATTCACTATGAATGTAGGCCGCACCCCCTAGCGGCAGAAGCTCGTACTACATCCGGTTCGCCCTCTATTGAGGTGTAATGCACTACCAAAACGCCCGTAACTAAGAAACAAATACTAATTCGATGATGCCGGCTGGCACACTGATTCACTATGAATGTAGGCCGCACCCCCTAGCGGCAGAAGCTCGTACTACATCCGGTTCGCCCTCTATTGACACAGTCTTGAAACTTTCCGATCGCACCTCGTATGTAAGCAATTGATGAAAAACGTTTCAAGTTCCAAGTTGCTAAAGCGTGATCTCCCGATTTAATACATCAAAATCATAAAATAAAAATGTCCGTCTGTCTCGAGATTCTACTCCTTACAATTTGTTAGAAAGACTAGCAGGAGAAGCCTCGGAACTTTCCCCCCCCCCCCCCCCAAATAAAGATCCCACACTTATATCTATGATTTTATTTTCTACTGTCTATCCTAAAAATTCTCTTTTGTATTTCAGACTGGTATTGAGCTCTATATTTTTTACCATTTACAAACATTTTTATGATGCTGTCTTTCT